CATTTTTTCTTCTCCTTTTATATATAGATAGATTAGAGAAAACACATAAAAAAAAACCCCTAAACTTGGCCGGATAACTTACTTTAGGACTTAAACTATACATACGTTTAAATACCCCCTTAACATCTTTGAAGTGAATTAAATGCAACCCTAAGGGATGACGTGGCAAAGAGAGTGGTCTCACTCACCTAATAGCATGTGAAGGAGTTAAAAAAGGATTTTTTTTTATAAAACCATACACATGTCATTTTTTTATAAGTCAATATATAATTATATTTTAAATATTATTTTCTTAATATATTAACTTTTATTAAGCTATATGAATTTTCCTATTGGCCCATAAATTTTTTAATGTTTTTCTCTTCATTTTATTGTCTTTCCCAATAAGCTTCTTCTCCATTGAAGCATCATTTTTTCCTCCATCTTCATCTTCAACTCTATGAACTACTTCAGTAATCCATAAAACCCAACACCAACATCTTATTATTGACGTCAATTTCACACCTATAAATTTTGTCGATTTTCATTGGAGCTAAAAAAAACTTGTTGATTCACCGAATAAGACAAAGAAAGAAAGAGAAACATGAGGTGTGGTGGAGCTCATTGGAAAATATGAAGAGGGAAAAAATGAACGGTTAAGAGCTAGAAATGGTAAAGAAGAAGGAGGAAGAAACAAGTGAAGGGGGTGGGTATGGGGGAATAAAAATGGAGACACATTTTAAATTTTAATTTTAGAAAATGCATTTGCAATTAATTACTTAGTGTAAATTAATTTTAAGAAGTGTTAAAGAAAAAATTGCGAAAATAATTAATAAAAAAATTAATTAATAATGTGGTGCTGACATGATTATGTTGTGGCACTTACATGACTATGATGTGGTAAGTGAGAGTGGTATAATAATCTTAGGGTGATTTTTAATTCACTTCAAAGATGTTAAGGGGGTTATTGAAACTCCCGTGTAATTTAAGTACTAAAAGTAAGTTATACAACCAAGTTCAAAGTTTTTTTTAATGTATTTTCTCTATATATTATAGTAATATATAGAAGCAAAGTTTCATTATAATCAAGTGTTCCATAGAAATCATTAGCTTTGATTCAAATGTTATAATTATGTTCAAAATATATATTTAATATGTAAAATAATCTATATAAAATCTTGTAAGAAAACTAATTATAATTTAAATTGATAAATTAAAATTATGAATCTACCATCTATCAATAATAATATAGCTTAACTTTAGCGAGTTATTTATCTTTTTTCTTTTTAAATAAGTAAATAATGAATTAACTACTTACCAACCAACACATATAACTTAGGGAATGTTTGATTTAAATATCGTCAAATAATTTCTTGCTAGTTTTTATTAATAATTGAATACCAAGGATTTTATATATATGAACTCCTAATTTTTTACAAAAGAAAAAAATTAATTAATTTTTTGAATGCTCTTCTTTAAATTATTGACTTCAAAGACACTGTAATAAATTTTGAAATCCATGCATTACTTAAATTAATGTTAAATTATCTCTAAAATTACTCAATCCTATCTGAATTTATCACCAAACTTCACTTCTCACTATATATACAGAACCCATCGACATTGAATTTCACAAAAAATCATTCATTTGCACTATTTCTCTCTTTGCTTCTCATCTTTCTCTGAAGAAAAAGAAAAAGAAATGTTGATGGTCTGGCATAAACTGAAGAAGGCACTCTCACTTAAGCGTAAGGATAACAATTCCCAGAATGAGACACACCATTCCAAATCACCTGCTATTCCTTCATCGCCGTCCTCCTTGTCTCGTTTACCCAGTCCCACCACACGTTCATCCAAGGTCCGTTTTCATTTCTTCTCTCTTTTTATTTTTTGTTTTACTATTTTCCGTTTTCACCCTTTTTTTTCTGAAATTCTCCATCCCTGTTTCCCTTTTTACTTTCCGACAACATTTAAATTGCTTCACCACTAAGAGTGGCAGATAACAACAAATCAACAAAAAATTGTGCTGGTTCTAAGTGAAATTTAATTCTTGTTCTTACTTAACTATCCTTTGTTTGTAGTTTTGATTAAGATGGCAAATGAGGCGGGGCGGGATAGTTGTGGAGCAAATCCACCTAAAATTATAAAGACTTCAATCCACCCACCCGCCCCCACCCCCATATAGCGTGATTTGTTGTAAATCATTCCCGCATAAATTACAATTTTTAGAAAGTATTTATTTAAACTAATATAAATTGCAATCAGTTTTGCATAAATTTATGAAAAAATATAATTTGAACCTACGTTGTGCAGAAAATAAAAGACTGTATTGAAAAATTCTCTTTTAATTGATTGATGTGCTCTGTACAATTTACCTATATTTATACAAGTATCCTGCTAACTAACTATACAGGTGGCTATTTCTAATTGGTCTACCTCTAACAAACAAATGGATAAATACAGAAATTGTATAATAAAAGATGTCTTAATTAAGTTCTAAAAGAGAGTGTATATGCTAAAGCCCAGACGTTTAAAACAGATTCAATCAAACATCTGAGGCCCACGTCTGAGGCCCAATGGTTGCATAACCCAAGTCCATAATATCATTTGTAGGGTCTTTCATTTGTAGCTACTTCCATTCTTAAACTAGTAGCCTGGAAGAGTGTAAAATCGTCTGATGAGAAGGAAGAAGAATTCCAACACCCCCCTCAAGTTGGAGGGGATGAGACACCCAACTTGTGAAGAAGAGAGTGATGGGTAAGTCCGGTGAGAGATTTTGTAAACAGATCTGCAAGCTGAGAGGAAGATCGAACATGAGAGAGAGAAATAAGACCGGCGAGGTACTGCTGACGAACGAAATGACAGTCGATTTCGACGTGTTTCGTTCGTTCATGAAAGACCGGATTTTTAGCAATATGTATGGCAACAGAACTATCCGAATGAAGAGGAACCGACAAACTGATCGGAACATTGAGATCTACGAACAATCGGACCAACCAAGTAAGTTCGGCAACGACTCGCCTCATCGACCTATATTCAGCTTCAGCCGAACTGAGTGATATTGATGCTTGCTTTTTTTATTTCCATGTAATAGGAGAAGAACCAAGAGAAATATAGAAACCACTGACGGACTTTCGTGAATCCGGGCAGGTTCCCCAATCGGAATCACAAAAGGCAAGGAGCTGGAAGGACGACGAACTGGACATAAAGATCCCAAGACCTGGATCATGGAGCAAATAGCGAAGTACTCGTAAAGCCGCAGTAAAATGAGGAAGACGAGGGTCCTACATATACTGACTAAGGTGCTGTACAGTGAATGAGAGATCCGGCCTCGTGTGAGTCAGGTAATTCAGTTTTCCCAGTAAGTGTCGATATAGAGTAGGATTCGTCAAAGGAATACCTTCATTGGCCTTTAATTTGACAGAAGAATCCAGAGGTGTAGAAACAGGATTAAGGTCCAAACAATCGAACTCTGTTAATAATTCAAAAATGAACTTTCTTTGAGAAAGAATTAAACCATGTGGTTCCCGAATGACTTCCAAACCGAGGAAGAAGTGTAAATTACCAAGATCTTTAATCTTAAATTCTGCATCCAAGAATAACTTGAGTTCCTGTAAGTCGGCTGGATTATCTCCTGTCAATAAAATGTCATCGACATAAACTGCAACTATAGAAATCGAATCAGTAGACTTCTTAAAAAACAAAGAATAGTCATTGAGAGAATGACTAAAACCTTTGAAATTGAGGGCAGCAGTGAGTTTTGAATACCATTGTCGAGAGGCCTGTTTTAGGCCATAAATAGACTTCTTTAATAAACAAACATGATTAGGGGGAGGAGGAGAAAGACCAGTAGGAAATCTCATGTAAACTTCCTCATTGAGGTCACCATGTAGAAATGCATTATTTACATCTAATTGAAAGAGACCCCATCCTCTCTTTACTGCAATAGCCAAAATACAGCGAACAATAGTCATCTTCACCACTGGTGAAAAAGTCTCATTGTAATCCACCCCTTCTTTTTGTATATCACCTCTAATGACCAATCTGACCTTAAATCTCTCAATACTACCATCTGAATGTTGTTTGACTTTGTAAACCCACTTGCAAGGCAAAGCTTTTTTCCCATGAGGCAAAAGAACAACATCCCAAGTTCAGTTTAGTTCCAAAGCAGCCAGTTCTAGATTCATGGCTTCCTGCCAAGCAGGATCATGTAATGCCTGTTCATAGCTAGCAGGTTCATGGATATTAGAGACAGAGTTGAGCATAACCTGATTAGAAGAGGATAAAGAATGGAATGAAAGGGAAGTAGGAGTGATAGGACTAAGAAAACAGGAAGAACTTACATATGTGAGTTGTAAAACATGACAAATATAATCTGTAAGATAAGAAGGAGTCCTAGTATTCCTAGAAGACTTTCGGACAAGAGTATCAATAAGAGGAGTTGGATGGGGAGGATCAGGAGATGTACTGATAGGAGAAGGAATAGGATTACAGTCAGAGGAGGGAGAAGAAGGAGGAATAGGCAAAGTATTAGGAACACTAGACAATGTAGAGTCAGGCGCAAGTGTAAATAAAGGAAAATCAGAAACATGTATATCTGAGGGAGGAATTGGAAATAATCTATGAGAAATGTGAGACATATCTGATGAAAAGGGAAAATATTCTTCATAAAAAATGATATCTCTAGAAACAAAAATTTTCTTTGTTTTAAGGTTCATGACTTTGTAGCCCTTTTTCCCATAAGGATACCCCAAAAATACACAAGGCAAGGCTCTTGGATCAAACTTTGTTCTATGAGGAGAAGTAGTGGAAACAAAACATAAACAACCAAAACATCTTAGATGTGAATAAAGAGGTTTATCTTTAAAAAGGATTTCAAAAAGTGTTTTGTGATTCAAAATAGAAGAAGGAAACCTGTTAATCAGATAGGTGGCAGTTAATAAACATTCTCCCCAATAAATGATAGGTAAATGAGATTGATATAACAAGGCTCTTGAAGTTTCAAGCAAATGCTTGTGTTTCCTCTCCACTATTCCATTTTGTTGTGGAGTGTAAACACAAGTAGTTTGGTGAATTATCCCTTTGGAAAGAAAAAAATCAGAATGCAATTTTCCAGCCCCTAATTCAAAAGCATTGTCTGTTCTGATTATTTTGATTTGGGAGTTAAACTGTCTTTTAACCATGGAAATGAAAGATTTAAGAATAGAAAAAGCATTGGATTTAGAACTAAGTAGATGAGTCCATGTTGCTCTACTAAAATCATCAACAATGGTTAAAAAATACTTAAAACCATTATATGTAGGAGTGTTGTAAGGACCCCAAGTATCCACATGTATTAGTTCAAACACTGATTTAGTAGAGAGACAACTTTTAGGAAAAGGCAATTTAGATTGTCTTGCCATAGGACAAATAATGCAAGGAGATGAAAATTTGGAACAAGGTAGAAAAGCTGGAACAACATTCTTCATATTACTCAAAGGCATATGGCCTAATCTATAGTGCCATAGCTTTTCTTTTACATTTGAATCAAAAAAACTAGAACATGAAGTAAGTTTCTTTTACATTTGAATCAAAGAAACTAGAACATGAAGTAAAGACATTGGCAACAAAATTAGGAAAACAAGAACTATTAGATCTAGAACTAGATAGGTGCTTTGTGAGAAGATCATCTTGATCACCATGTCTGAGATCAGAAAGACTCTTAGTAACAGCTGGTTGAAGAGACTTGAAAATATATAGACCCCCTTGTTCCTTACCAACCTCCAGAGGGCTCTTCAGTGAAGGGCCCTGCAACATAAAACATTTGTTAGGGGTAAATAAAATATTTTTCTGAAACTGTTTGCACAGTTTATGAATAGACAAAAGATTGCACTTGAAAGACTGAATATAGAGGACATGGTGAAGAATTAATTTAGGTAAGAGTTCGATAGATCCTGAATGAGTTACAGTGACTCTATGTGAATTAGGAAGAGTAACCATAATAGGTTGAGGCAAAGGACTGAGATTAGAGAAAAGAGTTCTATTAGATGTTATATGCTCAGAAGCTCCACTGTCTAAAATCCATGAAACATTGCCAACTGTAAACAGAGAAACATTAGAATTGGGTATACCTGCACAAGTGATGTTAGCAGATCCTTCACTAGTATTGCTAGTTTGATGGTTCATCTTCTGTAATAGTTGCAAGAGTTGAGCAACATTCTCCTGACTGAGTGAAGTTTGATCTGTAGAACCTTCCACACCATGACTGTTAACCTCAGATGAACTAAAAACATTGTTAGCAACATGACCTTGTTGGTATTTTTTATTCTTGGTGAACTTAAAATCATCAGGGAATCCACGAAGCTTATAGCACTGTTCAATAGTGTGACCTGTCTTCTTGCAATAGTTACAAATGAAATTGTTTTCTTGGAAAAGTTCCCTGGCTTAGGTTTATATTCATCAAACCTCCTAGTTCCTGAATTTCCAACAAGAAAGGAGGCAGACTTTGTTGGGTAATTAGGAACAACATGTATTTCTCTCTGTTTTTCATCTTGAACTACCAGAGAGTAAACTTGACCAATGGTAGGAAGAGGGGAAGACAATAGAATGTTACTTCTAACCCCAATGAAGGTGTCACTAAGACCCATGAGAAATTGAAGTAGCCTTTCATCCTGATGAGCTTTGACAATTTTTTCTTTAGTACCACATACACAATCACAAGAACAAGCTGAAAAAGTGTTAAGAGCATCAAGCTCATCCCATAAACTTTTCATCTTGGTGAAATAAGTAGAAATACTAGAATTTCCTTGTACAACAGCATTTAACTCTTTCTGTAATTGAAATAATTTTGCTCCACTAGCCTGACCAAATCTGTCTTCCAGGTCAGACCACAAGACTTTTGCACTTTTGGAGTAGAAAACAGATTCAGCAATCTCTTTTGAAAGAGAATTCAGCAGCCAAGATAGCACCATATCATTGCATCTTGACCAAGTTTTCTGAAAGTTTATATCAGTGGGAACATCTAGGGATCCATCAATGAATCCTAGTTTGTTTTTGGCTGATAGAGCAATGATAACCCCTCTTCTCCAGCCACCATAGCTTCTACCATCAAAGATGGTGGAACCAAGTTCATCCCAGGAGAGTCTGAGGGATGGATGTAGAAAGCATATGAGGGATCTACTGCATTAGTTGCAGAAATCCCTTCACTCCTTTCAGTAACACTACCAGAAGATATTTGAGCATCCCCCATGAGGAAAAAGAGAAACAAGCAAGGAAGCAGAAGCTGTAACGAGAAGGGAAGAAGAAAGACTGAAGAGCTATTAACCTTGCTCTGATAACATGCAGAAAATAAAAGACTGTATTGGAAAATTCTCTTTTAATTGATTGATGTGCTCTGTACCATTTACCTATATTTATACAAGTATCCTGCTAACTAACTATACATGTGGCTATTTCTAATTGGTCTACCTCTAACAAACAAATGGATAAATACAGAAATTGTATAATAAAAGATGCCTTAATTAAGTTCTAGAAGAGAGTGTATATGCTAAAGCCCAGACGTTTAAAACAGATTCAATCAAACATCTGAGGCCCAATGGTTGCATAACCCAAGTCCATAATATCATTTGTAGGGTCTTTCATTTGTAGCTACTTCCATTCTTAAACTAGTAGCCTGGAAGAGTGTAAAATCGTCTGATGAGAAGGAAGAAGCAACACGTTGTCTTGTCGCATCTTATTCCCTAGTTTTGATCATTATTAGTTTTACTATTAGTTTCAACGTATTGATGAGGGTATAGATTGATTATTATTTTTTACATTTTTCCTGGCATTCATTAGTGAACTAAAGAAATCCAATTCTACAATATAATATTGTCCTCCTTAATTTGCTTTTAACGCCATTATAAAAGCAATAGGGGTATCATTCTTTTGTGGCGAGATATATATAAAATGTTGACCGTGGTTGGATTTTACCATACAAACGTTTTAAGTTGATTTTTGTAATCAATTAAAACACCTTTTTTTTTAAATTTCAAGTATTGAAAATGACAACGATCTTTCATTTATTTATTTTATAAAAAAGACCACTACTCATATCTCTCCGTAATTTACAATATAATATTTATCTCCCATATTTTGAAGGTTTTTTTTTACCATAATTATTTTTTAAACTATTCTAATTGATTCAAAATAACTATAATTTGAATCAATATTATACATTTTTGGTTAATTAATTTTATTAGTACCTTTTCAGAAATAAAAGAATCATTAACTAAAAGAAGAAAATAACCTATACCTAGTTATGTAGTTGATGTGCGCTCAAGCTTGTTCAAACACCACTTTCACAAAGAAGAATAGATGCTATCTAAATTGTACGATTATTTTAAAAAATGAGATTAATTAGGACCTAATGAGATTATTTTACTTTCATATCTCTATTTGTGCCTTGTTGCCATGTAAATTGTACGAATTTTGAGTGAAGATTAGGGATTGTGTTGCTTTTGTATTCAATTATAGTGTTGTTGCAGGGAACATGTGTGATTTGCCTTAGGAGTATGAAAGCTGAGAAAGGTAAGGCCATATTTACTGCTGAATGCATGCATTCGTTTCACTTCAGCTGCATTGGCGAAAATGTTAAGCATGGGAACCTCCTTTTCCCCATTTGTAGATGCAAATGGAAGGAGATCCCTTTCCAATTTGCTACTGATGTTACTATAGTGCGTCGAATTCGGGTGCTTCATCGTGTTAAACACTCTCGTCCTTTACCAACAGTATTTCCACCCCCTCCCCAGCACGTCCAATTTTCAGATGCGGGCTCAAGCATTATAGACGTCATTGGCTATAATATAGGTTCAGATGTTCAGCACTCAGGCCGCGGTTAGTACAACTTCAGATCGACCTTGGTAGTGTTATTGGTGAGTCCTCATCATTCGAGGAAGACCTATATATTTCATTCTGTTGTTATTATTTCAATTTTCAGACAGATAGAGTTAGCTAGGGGCTTGTCCTAGGAACTCATCTTAGTAGAGGCTTTCAGACAGTCAAATTAGCTCCAGTTTATGTTTATTCTCAGATACTTGTTGTTTTGAGTTTAATAAATCTATTTCAAATTTAGTTTCTGCATCCGTATTTCATTTCTATGTATGTATATCTTAGTGTCATGCTAGTTCATCAGTTAGCTTTGGGTCACTTGTGGCGCTAAGAACCATATTACGACTATAGGGTAGTCTCGGGTCATGACATAGTGGGAGCATGAATGGATATTAAAAATTGACTCTCTTGAAGCAAACAATGTGCTTTGTCATAGAGAACTTGGGGCCTTCAGATGGGCTAGCTATGAATCAGTTGCCTTGTTCCATTCGTCCTTACATTGACAAAGGGCAGAGGCTAGAGGATATGTCAACTTTCCCTGTTCATACTTTTGGGCTCGGTTCAGACTATGATTCTTCTGCTCTGTATGCTATTTCTGATGCATCAAGCGTCACATTTTCATTTATTAAATCGTTTGTTACTGTTTGAGATGCCCTTGCATTGTGTATTGGTGGTCTCCTCAGTGTTGTAGCCCAGGAGCATCACCTGCCGTCAAGATTTGTTTAAATTTATTTCCATTTGTTTGTTTTACCATTGAACTAAACCAATGTGAATCAACAACTAAAGTAAGACGTGACCTTTTACTCTCTTAACACATAAAATTCTTGCATTTATTTACCTTATTGCATAGTTGCTCAATGAAACTAGTTATTCGAGTGCTTAAGTCGCGGCTAAACTAACACATACTATCTCATCGCAATTACGATGTACAACTTACAATTGCGAAAAGGCTCATAGCATTTACGAACCCAATCCTTAGCTAAAGTGTCACAATTGCACATAATGCATTGCTTTTGCAGATTCTACTCCATTTTTGCGAATGTCAGTAGCTAAAGGTTTCCCTTAATGCAAATGTGGCCCTTGTGGTCGCAACTCGCAAATGAGACACACCATCTGGAAGGCAAATATGGTGTCGAAACACCACCGAACCCCTAGTTTCTCCTCTTAAACTATGTCTACAAGTTCCGAAATACTTAGGCCATAAATATGAATTTTTACCTAGAACTTGATTTGGCACGCAATAACTCAAATAGAGGGATTTGAATGTTGTATCAAATTTGCGTTTTATGATTAAATCAATCACGGCCCGATTTCTCAAGTCATGATGTCACCTACTATAACCTCTAGTAAATAAGTCAACCCGTAATCTAGAATGACAAGTAATGGGTATAAGGGTAAAATCAAAGCAAGAATAATCACTTGAACATAAATAACAAGAGAATAAGGCGGAAGCTATAAAATATATATATATATATATATATATTGGACCAAAAATATACATACTTGTCTCAAATTACAAAAGACTAGCCAAATAGCATAGAATGAGACATGTATGATTCAAGGCGCCATAAACTCACCCTCACATCTGGATACTGCGACAATTAGCTCGAACTCAAAGCTAATAGCTGGTGCTCGGACTACATCACGAAACAGGTGTTGAGTGTAGCACGAATACCAAAACAGCAGGTACTCAGTAGGTATCATAGGCTGACTGAGCAAGAAAAGTAAAAACAATATGAAAAGCGGGAATAAAACACAACAAAGTTCAAAGGACTGGAAATCTATTAGGAATGCACATGAGTGTAGAAAAGGACTAAAATGAAGCAAGTATCTAAATTACTCAAAACCTAACGAGACCCCCATAAGCCCATGAAGTACACCTGTGTACAAGTTAAATTAGAAACCCGAACGGACCCCATAAGCCCGACAAGTGCAAAAAAAAGCTACAACTACTGAGAAGTGCGCAGCTCGAACCTCGAACCACAAATAGGCCTCCCAAAAGAACCAATAGGATCAAACTGATAGATATCAACTCCGTAGAGTATAATGAGCTTGAATTATAGACTGCGACTAAGGATCAATGTCCAGACCATGAATCTGCGACTAAAATAGGGTAGCATGACCATACCTCGAATCTGCAACAAAATGAGTTATTGTGGAGAATCCCATACCAAACCATCATCATAAAGCCACTGTGGAACAACGTCCACACTAAGGTAATCAATACAACACTACAATCCTGAACCAAATTCAACCCCAAACCGTCGAACGAAGCCCAATATCTCAATCGTGAATCACCGGGGTTATAGAAAAAGGGAGTTTTGGATAAGGGAAATAACATTTGAAAACATGGAATTCATAAGAAAAACCTGAAATTAAGGGCTAATCATGAACAAGAACTAATTTACATTGAAGCTCATGAAGATCATAAAAACCCTAGTTTTGTAAAAATAATAAATTTGACAATATGATCTTTCTTTGGAACTCAATGAGTAAAGGGATACTCATTGATGAAATCTCACATACGGAAAACCTTGGTAGAATCGTTGACTTTGAAGCTTGAAGTTGAAGAACCCTAGTTTTGATCTTACTAGTTGGAAGTTGGAACTGTATATGTAGGGCATGAGGAAAGACCTTAGTTCCTCACTATGATAGTTTTATATACCTTAAATGCTCCATGAATCTTGAAGAAGAATCCTAACTTGATGAAGAATGATCAAGAAATCCATTCTTGAAAATCTTGGATTCGTTTCTTGAAAATTCTTGATTTGGAAGGAAGAAATCTTGATGTACTTTCTTAGAAATAAAGTCTTGAACCCTAATCATCAAAATTGAGAGAATTGAGCAAGACAACATTCCAAAAAGAGGGAAAACCTAAAAATCAGAACCCTTCAAAAAGCGGTGACAATATGGCTGACACTACCACCGGTGGGATTACCCCTCCGGAGGACTTCCCACCCTTAGCCAAGAAAGACAACACCTTAACCCAATCTACTCATACCTATATAGATCCCAACAAGACCCAATACGCCAATCTACTTAAACCTAAAATCACCGCTCCTGAAATCCTAGTGATACATGCTAAACCAATATTGATTTTTATGGAGAACCGA